ATGCTAGTTAGGAGGATACAGACCAGGCATGAAATGCTGGGAACCTGATCCAGTTCTTTAGATTACTGTGTCAGCAACCTTAAGGAGGCTTTCGAGCAAGGATCCACCAGCCTCATCACTACTGCCAGCACCAGCAGGTCCCCGAAGACAACATAAACAATGATGAACTCTTTCCATCCAACGCAGGAGACTCGGGAATCTTGGTGGGTAGAAAACCCACACTTTAGTAGATGGAGGGTAAATCCTTTCCCAGAGAAAGAATCATAGGGCAACACAGATGTAAGAGTAAATGTAAATTCAAAATCTGATGGAATTGTATTGTGTTGAGAAAGACATAACAACAATACCTTGCTGGCATGGCACCTTACCATTTTCATGTTATTTTCACACTATTTTATTTAATTCCTAAATCAGCCCATTAAGTCAGCAGTATAGACATTATTATTCCTTTTTCTGTAGATGAGAAAAATGGAGGTTCAGGTTGGGTAAGTGTCCTGGCCAAAGTCATGGGGTTCGGAAGGGGCCAACCAGGGACCAGAACCCAAATCTCCTAAATCTCAGGCACCTACCATGTTGCCCGAAGACAGTGGGAGTCTGGGTACCCCATGGCCAGGAATGCGCACCTGCCAGTCTATCCTCAGAAGCCTAAAGGAACTATCTTCATCCCATGAGTAAGAAAGAAGGCCAGAATAGAACCTATTGACTTAACCAGTGGGATTCAAATGTTTCAGCAAAAGTAGAGGTTCTGCAGTAAGTGGTAAATTAAAAGAAGAGACTATTCCACTTACTGGCCACATGAGTAATGATGCTAGCACGTCTGCCACTCCTCCTTAGGTTAACCCATGGAGTAGCATCCTCTTCAGACTCACTGCCTAGTGGCTGTGGAATAACAGGTCTCGGGCCTCACCTATACCTTAAAAAGCCTACGCCTTCCAATCTCTCACTTACCAGCTTTGCTCCCTCCAAAATGGCAGAAGGCTAGGCACAGCGGTTCATGCCTCATGGCCTGTAATTCCAGCACTTTGGGAGGCCGAGGTGGGTGGATCACTTGAGGTCAGGAATTCGAGCCCAGCCTGGACAACATGGCCAAACCCCATCTCTACTGAAAATACAAAAATTAGCTGGGCATGGTGGCACACGCCTGTAATCCCAGGTACTCAGGAGGCAGAGGTTGCAGTGAGCCAAGATTGCACCATGGCACTCCAGCCTGGGCGACAGAGCAAGACTCCATCTTAAAAAAAAAAAAAAGAAGAAGAAGAAAACCTATGGGGACTTCATCTAGTCCATTAGGGCAGATACTATGAAAGCTGTTTCAGCACCTTGAAGCAGGAGAGAACATGCTGAATGTTCTCTGTTTAGCCTATGCCATGAAGATCTGATTTAACTGAAAGGGGATAAACTCTTGCTGTTTCTACTATAGGAAGACCATTGACATCAGCAAGAATCTCCACATTTGCAAATTATCAGTGTAGATACTGCTTCTCCTACAAAATGCAGTAAATTATAACTAAAAAATTTAAGTGGCCCCTTCAAGTCCTTAATGACTTTACAAAAAGGTACTAAAATCTTTCAACATGTTAATTAAAATACATTTCTCTTGAGTCATATTTCTGTGGAGAATCATGTTTCCTGAGCACATCTTCACATCAAAGGTCAATGCCTTTTCAACTTCTACTCAAGTTTTGTCTTTTTGTTGATCAGCAGTTCTGGCGCAGGCAAGAGCATTGCTCAAGTAGTTTTAGTAATCACTTTTGTTTCTGAAAAGAATCTGGAGTGGGCGACTCCTCACAGATCAGAGTCACTGCCGATTCCAACCCGCTGCTTTCTTTGAAAATGTCCATTTTCTGTGTAGGAACAGTCACTCTTACATGTCTTCACCACCCTCATCTTCTCCAGTGGTGGCTTTCTTTTCAAGATCAACTTTTACTGTGAAACGTGACAGGTTGCCATGTGACCTCGAGTAGAGATTTAAGCAGCTGTGGTCAGATGTGGTGAGTCAGTGACAGCCAAGTTCATTTTTAGCCTGGCTCTCCCCTGCCTCTGGCCCATCCCTCAAGGAGCAGGCTTCAAATTCTGACCATGGAAAAAATGACACTTGACATGTGTCATTGTTCTGGGCCTGCAGGGTTCCCCGGGAATATCGACTCCATTGATACCAGAGATATCCTGAACTTATGGATTTGTTATTGTTTGTTTTTTACTTTTAATGTTCAAGTGCTAACACATACGTGTTTTGATGATTTCATGTTAACATTTAGTCTGTGGTTTTATGTGCATTTATCTATAAGCTCGCTTGATCTCAGCATACTGGAATTAACTATTTTCTTCCTGTAGGAATATATTTTCCATGTGCATTAACCAAGAGGCTGGATACTCTTGCGTATCCCAGATGCCTTAGTGATTTAGCACACCTGGTGGCTAGGCGCAGTGGCTCACGCCTGTAATCCCAGCACTTTGGAAGGCCAAGGAGGGTGGATCAAGAGTTCAAGACCAGCCTGGCCAATATGGTGAAACCTCAACTCTATTACAAATATGAAAAATTAGCCGGGCAAGGTGGCATGCATCTGTAATCCCAGCCACTCGGGAGGCTGAGGCAGAGGCAGGGGAATTGCTGGAACCTGGGAGGTGGAGGTTGCGGTCAGCTGAGATCACGCCACTGTACTCCAGCTTAGGCAACAGAGTAAGACTCAGTCTCAAAAAAAATAATAATAAAAAACAAAAACAAAAAATGAAAGGGCACCCGGCAAATATAATGAGCATAAGATTGTTTGGATTGAATGGGTAGATTAGTAAGGATTTTTGCTACTGTTGCATGTAATAGAAACGAACAAACTAGATTAAGAAAAACAAAGCCAGCGGAGTAGACGTTCCTGATGGAGGATCTCTACCCCTTCCCTTAACTAACCAACATCCCCTGCCCTTCCTTACCTCTTATCTCTGGGGAGGCCACTGACCTGCGGAAGGAGATGGTCCACAAGAGAGGCAGAAGGATGGGGGCTATAGATTGGAGGGGTCCTGAGGCAGTCAAGATTGCCCTGGGGTGGTTGTTGAGTGGTTCTCTGAATTTAGTGGAGGAGACTGGGTCACGCTACAACCTTAAGCATGCTCTTGCCTTATTTTGGTCTTCATATTGCCACCTATGATGTGAAGATCTGGAAAATATTTTTTAATCCCAGAGATGCCACCATTACAAGCACAGAGCCCAGGGAAGGGCAACTGATGAACAGAGAGGTGAGTCCTCCCAGCCCAAACCCTCATCACAGTAGTATTCCCCCCAAGATTCAGGGGCCGGTATTAGCAACCTAATTAATCAATGAAGATGTGATTAAATGAAAGCATTTAAGAGAGGTATGGAGAGAGAAGCTGAGAACAGACTTGGCCTTCTTTACAATTCTGCCAGGCCTAAGCCTATGGAGATTCTATAAGGACATGGCATTACAGTTGGCCACGTTAAAGGTGACTAGACCTGTCACCTCCATGACTTCAGCCCTTGCCTGGACCTCTGATATGTGTTTTTATTGATAATTTTGGAGGTCTTATCATCTTCCTGTGACCCTTGACTTTGACAGTCAAATGGTTGAACGTCTGCTCCATCTGGACTGATGACTTACCAGAACGAGTGACTGGCTGTCACCACCCTGATTTATGATCCTCACTGCAGAGCTTCCTGCAGAACCAAAGCAATCTAGGCCCACGGACCTGCCTTCCCACATGATATGTCCCATATCCCAAGCTAGGGTGACAAGTGAAACTTCTGATTAGAGTGTTCTTGTCCTACTGGTTCTTTCCCTACTCTGCCCCATACTTCATCCCTCTTCTACCAGGTACCCATTCCCCCATGTCAAACCAGACTTTGTTGTCATGGAAATCCTGCCCCCGGCCTCCTTCCTGGGCCCAGACCTCTAGGCCTCCACCTGCCCTGATAGATCTGCCTGGATCCTGAACCTGCCTCACCCTGCTCCAGTTTGTCACTTTGCTGCTCTTGCCTCATCTCTGACTTTTGTCCTCTGGCAAATCGCCCTGGAATGGGATGGTTCTTAGAACCAGCACGCAGGACCCACCAACCTGTGCTGCTACAGGCATATTAAGAGCCCAACATGAAGCACAATATACATTTGGAGAAAAACTTCACTCATCAAGAAATAACAATGCATATCCACTACACAAAAATCTGACACCAAATGGAAAATACTTTTGTGAAATAGACTGATTGCCATATGAAGAGGGTTTGTGAAAAGTCACATCTATTGCACAGGACTTTTCAGTTCATAAGCCGCATAATATCAGATCATCATACTGGCAAAGCAGGGCCTGTAAGCCTGCTGGGATGCAACCTGGAAATTGCTTCATTATTGAATATTACAATGATATTTGCCAACATGGAATATTTTGCTTGTGTATGCATTTGAATAAAATTTCCAGCCACCATTGTTTATAGCCCAAATATATTAGTATCTCCACATAACAAATTCTAAAGAGGACAAATGAAATATTTAAATGAGCAAGATTTGTGGACCTAGTGAATACTGCATTTTACCTGTATGTTCTTTATCACCACAGACTTTTTTTTTTTTTTAAATCAAACCTGATAACGTCAAAAGACGAGAAAGGCTAAACTCAGAGAAATAAAGAAACCATAAATCAGGAAACTTTGGAGCTGCTGGAAAGACACTTTAATTTTGTAGACAAAAGACTGCATTAAGGAGGAATCATGCAATAATCAAAGGTGAACGGATCGCTATTGTCTGGCATCTTCCTCTGTGGGAATTTTCCCACCCCTGACAGCTGTAAGGGGGGCAGGGGCGTTGAATGTGGCTGTGCCTTTATTCTCTCACCCTTTTTCTCCCCAGCCCCTCCTCTCCTCCGTCAATAAATGTCTGCAATCATATTCTTGAGCTCCTGTGTGATTTCAAGGTTCATCTCTTCCATGCAGCTCAAACACTAATTATCCCAGCTGTAATTAGTAAGATAATTAAATACTGGCTCACTCATCACTCTACCTTGGGTCGGGTCGTGATTCTCCCAGAAGACCTTGAGCAGTTCCTCAAAACTGATGTGTTCTGGCTGGTACACCACTCGGACGACTTCTGCATGGCCAGTTTTTTCTTGGAAGAAACAAAACGTACAACTGAAATTTACTGACAACATCAATTTATTGCAAGTTTTTTGTTCACAAAAAACCAACAGTCAAAAGCTGAAACTCTACCCTCTGAAGGAAGAATGGAAGCATGATTAAACTTTAGCTAACAGTCTCTCTCAAGGCTCTGTTACTGGTTCTTTTTCCATAAAAGCATACAGTTCTCCTCTAGTGAGCTTGCTGCGATGACTTCTACATTGTGCTCTGATAAATTGTTTTAAGTTCATGAAAAAACAAACATTGGTTTTCAGGTTTCTAAGCTCACTCTTGGGAAATCTTACGGATCCACCCTGACATAGCGCTCAAGATTTGAAACTCTGCAAAGGGAAAGAGCCAATTTATTTTTATCATCACTCCATGCTTTATGTAGTGAGCTCAGCTGCACCACAGTGAGATGGTGCCAGGGAGAGAAACCTGTAAAAAACAGGATGATCACTCATTCACATGAGATCAGTAAGTTAACGGAGGGACATACTCGCTGTGCTGTTAACACCGGGACAAGGGTCAGATTTAAATACCCAGTAGGGTGGTAAGTGTTTTCTCAGCCTAATTCATATCCATGGTAAACAATGACGGTGGCATATGTCTCTTTGCAGGATCCTCTGTAGGCCTGTTCTCAGTGGTGGTCCTGAAGGTTTGGTGCATCAGGGGTGGGTATTTGCAGTACTGCTTGTACCTGTGAAATTCATGTCCTTCCTTATTTTGCAGTCCTAGAGCATGGCAAATAAGAGATCCCTCCATACTAAGATCACTTGGCTATATAAATTTTTTTATCACAGTCACCTTATGTGTAGTAAAGAATTTGGCCAGCCGGGCGCGGTGGTTCACTGTAATCCCAGAACTTTGGGAGGCTGAGAAGGGTGCATTACCTGAGGTCAGGAGTTCGAGACTTAGCCTGGCCAATCTGGTGAAACCCTGTCTCTACTAAACAAAAAATTAACTGGGTGTGGTGCCAGACACCTGTAATCCCAGCTACTCGGGAGGCTGAGGCACAAGAATTGCTTGAACCTGGGAGAAGGAAGTTGCAGTGAGCTGCAATCGCAGCACTGCACTCCAGCCTGGGCAAAAACAGCAAAACCCTATCTCAAACAAAACAAAACAAAAACAAAAGAACTTGGCCTTGCCCATAGAGAGGTCTGGACTTTTGTCCTCAGCTTCTGGAAGATAAAGTGTGTCATATCCAATGCTGGGCACACTGGGTCTCAGGATGGAACCAGTTACATCCAATTGTCTTAGGGTGAGAGTTGGCCATGCTACAAAGACCAACCATGTGAATTCGGATCACATGGTATCAGAACACCTGGGGACTGAGTTCAACCACATAGGCAATCAATCAATCAATCACGCCTACACAATGGAGCCACAATAAAAACTCTGGACATCGAAGCTCAGGCAAGCTTCTCTGGTTGGTGGTATTCTGCATATTGTTACACATAGACACCAGAAGGTCAGCATATCCTGACTTCAGGAGAGAAGAGAACAGAAGCATTTGGAGCCCTCCCAGCCTCTTTCTTTAGCTAATTGTGAGCTGCAAGCTTTCCCTGTAAGACACTGTAACCATGAGTATAACAGCATTCGGTGAATTCTGTGAGTCCTTCTAGCAAATTATCAAACACGCGAGTGGTTTTGGGAATCCCCTGAACTGGCACCTTAATCTGCAAAAGTGTCTTCCAATATATCAGTCATCTCACTTTAATTCTCACAACTGTCCAATGCTGCAGGTAGGGAAAGTAGGAATCCTTATTGTACAAACTGAAAAACCATGACACAAATAAGTTAGATTTGCCCAAGGTCACACAGCTAGTGAATTTCTGGGCCATAACCTGAAAAAAGAAAACATACCTTCTGACTTCTGGTCCAGGGCTCTAACCAATACATCGAAGGAAAGAGCGCAAGGTGAACATTTGGAACATGAATCCAGAAAAGAAATCTATTCATTATCTTTAATTTGATCTTTTGATTAATATTTAAATTTCTTCTGATGGTAGAAACAGTATTTGCAGATAACATTGAAGCTTAGAAAATATGAGGAAGTATAAAAAAGAAAATACAGGCCAGGTGCAGTAGCTCAAGCCTGTAATCCTAGCACTTTGGGAGACCAAGGCGGGTGGATCACTTGAGGTTGGGAGTTCAAGACCAGCGTGGCCAATGTGGTGAAACCCCGTCTCCACTAAAAATACAAAAATTAGCCAGGCGTGGTGGTGGGTGCCTGTAATCCCAGCTACTCAGGAGGCTGAGGCAGGAGAATCACTTGAACCTGGGAGGTGGAGGTTGCAGTGAGCTGAGATCATACCACTGCACTCCATCCTGGCATCCTGGGTGACACAGCGAGACTCTGTCTCAAAAAAAAAAAAAAAAAAAAAGAAAGATAAAGGAAAATACAAATCACCTATACCCCTGCCACATAAGCAATATCAATAAATTTTATGAATCTCTTCCTGGGTGCCTACCAGATGTGTGCACGCACGCGCGCGCGCGCACACACACACACACTTTCTTCCATTGCATTCATTACAGCATGCTTTCCTCTCTTACCATTATATCGGGAATATTTCCCCATGTCATTAAAACTTTTAGAAAACACCATCTATAATGAATACACAACTCTCCATCAGATGGTTGTCCAGCTACTTATTCAATCACTCCTTGTCATCAGGCAATCAGACTGAAATATATTTTTATCCATAAATGTAAATATTTTTCCATGCTTCTGAAGCTGCCTCAAGCCTTAGTTATATAAATGGAATTTCTAAATCAATGTTTCTAAACATTTTTAAATTTCTTGATGCCTAGTTCCAAACTGCTTTTCAGTAAAGTTGACCCAGTTTTTTCTTTCCATTGGCAGCATTTTTGAAGGCCAGTCTCAGTCACCATTACAATGTTTTTAATCCTTAGCAATTCATAGCTGGGAGACAGTATTCTATTGTTTTATTTAGGATGAATTTATATTATTAGTGAAGTAAAACATAAATTTCATGGTTATTAGCAATTTTAATTTGTTCTTTGCTCTAATTGGCATACTGCGCTATTAATTACTATGTTAATATTTTATTATTAATTGGTTAGTCCATATAATTTTAATTCAAATACTGTAGTCATTCAAGTCAGCATCTAAACAGATTTTATGCTAAAAGATATGAAAAGAATGACAGTGGAGAGTTTGAGGAAAAGATACAGGAAGCATAATAATGTGATGGTAAAACTACTTTTGTTCTAGTTTAACATATTATTTTGTAATTTGAAATGTTTAAATAAGTGATTCAACTATATAAGAACTAAAAATCTCTGAATATTAAAAATGGTAATGTTATCAACATGATAGATATATTTGGCATGAGAAACATTGAAACCACACTGAAATATAAGCAAAAGATGTAAACAGGCTATTTCTTCCTATGTGAAGAAACACATGTAAATTGAGACATGCAAAATGTCAACATTTTTAGTGATCAAAATGAAAGTAAATAAATGCATATTAAAACACTAACATATTAGCTCTTATTTTATTTAATAAAACTGCTTAGAAGCATCTTAGTGCTGTTGAGGATACAATGAAATGGTGCCCTTACTTGGCTAGTGACAGGGTAAAATCACTAAATCTGTTCTGAAACCCCATGGGTATACGTAGCAAGAGCCACAGAGATGCTCATTTGCCTTGATTAAGTGATCCAGGAAATCCATCTCAAAGGTATAACTTCAAATAATAGAAAAGATATACACATGCAAAAAAAAAATTAACTGTCATTATTACCATGGTAGAATACTATAAGAAATACACAAGCCAAACAAAGGGAAACAAATGTGGTATACTCATAAGATGAAGTTTCACAGAACCATTAAAATACCACATATTTTACTATCGTACACATAGTGAAAGCTGTTACTTTACTATTTAGTGAACAACAATGATATGGTAGCCACTTATCTACCTGATGCCATTTAATGCTCATAATTTTTTCCCATTTTGATAAAATGAACATAAAATTTACCATCAGATTAAGTACTTTCACAATGTTGTGCAATCATCACTATCATCCAGTTTCAGAACTCTTTTCATTTCGCAAAACTGATATTCTCTACCCATTAAATACTAACTCCCCATTCCCCCTCTCCCTGGACCCTGGCGACCCCCTTTCTACTTTCTTGTCTCTATGGATTTGACTTCCCTAGGGACCTCCTATAAGTGGAATCATACAGCATTTGTCTTTTTGTGAATATCTTATTTAACTTGGCATAATGTGTTCGAGGTTCATCCATACTGTAGCATGTGTCTGAATTTTCTTCCTTTTTAGGGTTGAGTAATATTCCATTGGGTGTATTTTGTTTGTTTATCCATTCATCCATCAATGAACATGTGGGTTGCCTCTACCTTTTTGCACTGCAAATAATGCTGCTGTGAACACAGACATACAAACATTGCTCACAATGATTTTACAAGAGAGATACGGTCCCCATTAAACAGAAGAGGAAATCAAGGTCTCCCTACAAGTTTTTTCACCCAACAGTGAGGAGGTAGGAGGATTCAGTCATAAGCCAACCAGGTTTCAACCAGAGATGAAGCTCAATCTCCTACTGTGACCTGAGCTTCTGAATGGAGAAACCTGAAGCCATTAAGTGATGGCAAATGTCACACAGGCTGTGACCCAGATGAGAAATCACAGCTGTGTGGTAATTGACACGAGGCTGTCAAGAATATTTTATGGGATTAGGCTCTTCTTTCATGACAGCAATATGGGGTCAGGGAAGATTTCCACTCGCCAGCAAACACTTTCAGACATAATCTGCCACTGACATTATTTGTGGAGAGGTTTTAAAAAGCTTGGTTGTTTAAGAGAAACTACTACCATTCAAATTCAAGATTCATTTGCCTTGACAAACAGCACAGTGATGCTCTTGCCAAACTCACCTTTAAGTTTCTTTACTTTATTTCTCCAAAGTAAAAGAACCTGTGTAAAAATACACAGTGCA